CTCAAGTAAAATGGATTTGGGAAAGAAACAATAACACAGCATTCTTTTACAAATTAGCTAATACTAGAGCCAAAATAAATCTGATTGCCAAAATTAGGTGCAATGACAGATTAATTGGTTAAAACTTTTTAACTCTTTAGTACATAAAGAAGAGATAAAGTGGAAGTAGCAAGATCAAGTCAAATGGATTTGGGAAGAAAAAAATTATGATTACCAAAACCATATGCAATAATAAATTGGTTGAAGACTTAGATGGTGTGCAGAAGACTTTGGCGAAGTTTTACAATGACTTGTGCAAAGGTAGATTAAAATACCTACTCCCAATGGTCTGCATTTTCAACGACTCATAGATATGATGGTTTTAATCTGGAGTTTTACAATAGTGATTGGGAGATCATCAAGTTTTTTTCATTATTTATTTTCCTTTTGTTATTTTTTCATATTCTAGGGTGAATAGAAAATTAAGGACTACTTTTTTTTAGTCTCAATTTAGTATTTTATAGGACTACATTAAGGGTCTATATTTTACAATTTGGATTTTTAGTTGGCTACTTAGTAAGGTGCATTTATTTTTTAGATCACTCTTCTTAACTTTTATTAGATAACAAAATTGAGAATTTAATTAATGTTCTTTATATCAAATATATTTGATAACAGTGTTGTTTTTACATGTTTGGTAAAGCAATCATGGTGGAATTTAAACGGGAATATTGATTGATAGACCATTAGAATATCAAATAAGCAATTAGATCTTGAAGAGGTAAGGCATAAGACTCAAGGTGGTTTGATTTTTGGACAATGTATTAGATCCACTTAGATTTAACCCCCAAACACATGAAAACCCATGCTAACCTTAGGGGCTCATCTTATAAGAAAGATCCCATTTATTGGCTTGTATTTTTTTTTTTTTTCATCGTAGCCTAGGCAGTAGAATTTGTCTATGAGAAAATTAAATTCTACGTTAATATCCCTAGTTTTCTATACCAAACAACATGCATATAGCTTAAAATAGTAGTATCTATACTATATGACACCGATTTTCATTCCAATACATGAAAATTCATTATATCTAAAAGAAAATAACATTTTAAATTTTTTACTTTAAATATTCCAAATACAATATTATAATATAATTTAATAGAAGAGTTTCATGCCAAAATATTATTAACAACTAAAGAAGGGTATAATTTATACTAATAAAATATTCCAAAGAAAGAGTAACAAAAAGAAGAAGGAAGAAATGATGCAACCCCTACTATTTAACGTGTAAAAGTAATTATACAAAAAGGAACCATTTTATATCCTTCTCTTCTCTCTCTTTTCCTATATTCTCAAAACGCCTATGCTTATTTTATGTAAATCTGACCATTTGCATTTTAATAAGAGAAGCCTAAAACATCATATTAATGCAAGTATATATGCATTTAGTAGATAAAAATGTTCTATGGGTGCATCTTTAATGTGTGCATCAGTATACATAAGACTAAACAAGTAGGCATCAATAAACTTCAACATTATATAGTAAAGTTTATGATCTCATATCATAGGTATATAAGACTTTTGGATTCATCAAAAGAAAGCTTACTTGTCAAGAGCTTCAATGTCCCTACTACTCCAAAAATTGTTCGAATTTTTGGAGAACGAACAGGTTTGCAATGTGGAAACTCATCTACGTACAAAATATAAAGTATAATAGTAAATCATTTTACATTTAACCAAATAAATTGTAAAATAGACAATAATTATAGAAAATATATAATTATAATAACAATAATGAACAAGAAAAAGTAGCCAACCAGTCAGATTTAATGATCCATTCGCGCGGGTTATTGTCAAAATAGAACCAGTAGGCCTATCGATTGGCTCAACAACATATTGATCTGGAAACTCCCATAGTCGCATTTGTGTATAAAGCTTTTGTGGTGAATCTGTTTTCTCCATTGTAGTAGGAATCTTATCCACTAAGAACAACAATAGATTTAATTAAACAACCACTAACAAAAAATATAAATAATAATATTGAAATGCCTTATTTCTAAATAATGAAACCAAATTTATAAATGAGAAAATTATCAAAGCATGAGAAGGCATAATATGCATAAGACATGAATGAAAATAATTGGAAATAGAAAAGAAATAATATTCCTTCATGGAAGAAAGAAAATTAAATACCACTATACCTTAAGCAGGAAAAATAGAGAAAAAAGACTAGTCATTCAAAGAAACTTAATTTAGGAGAGCAAATAAACATACACCATAAAAGTTGTTTTAATATGTTAAAAAGTGAACGCCTCATAAAAACTAGTAGGTACAAGGTTTTAAAAATTGAAATCATTGAAATACTTTAACATCTAGAAAACATATATCCTAATAAAATTTACTTAAAATATTCTCAAAATTTTAACCAAATAAATTTAGGTAATATATAAAATTAAATGTTTCAATATAGCTTACAGAAACCAAAATATTTTAAAATTTTATAAAATTATGAAAACATAGAAAAACTTAAAATAATGGAGAGAGAAATAAATTAGTGGATTCTAAAACCTTAATGACATGTATAACTTAAATGTTAAAAGTTTGATAAAAGAAACAAAATCATTAATAGTAAATTTAACTAAATTAAATATAGTACTTTCCTACTAAATATGCAATACTAATAAAAACCATAAAATTAAATTAAATAGAAAATTACTTTCTAAACTTGTAATAAAACATATGGAAATAGAGCATATATATAATTGAGTAGTATTACATTCTTTAGCTACTCAAGATTTTGGAGTCACAAATAAACATGTATATCTTAATCTATACTATAAAAGGTAAGAAAAAACATAAAACCAATAGTTAAATTTACACTAAAAATAATAATGTATAAATATAAAAAAAAATGCATAAACACAAAATAAAAAAAAATCATAGAAGATGCTCTAATTACAAAATTAATGGAAACTCATACTCTAAATGACTACGCAAAATATAATCAAAGATGTCATATAATTATTTTAAAAGTTCCTAAAATTAGGCTAAATAATTTGGTTCGTAATTTACATAACACATTTAAAATGCAAACTACAAAAAGGAATTCATTCAAAGGAAACCATGCCAAATACAATCAAAATAAAAATGAGTATTCCTTCAAAAACAATGGATCCATATAACAATAATTGCATTACACTTGAAGGAACCGTGACTTAAACTATGAAATTCTAGTTTTCATCATAATTAAAGTAGAAAAAAAAAATAATTACTAATCTGCCTCCAAGGAAATAATTAACAAATGATTATAAAATAAATCATTTAATAATTAATTTTAATAAAAAAAGTCAAGAGAATAGAAATTGAAGAAGATAATTGAAATATACCTCCTAGAAGACGTGAAGACGATAGCACCTTCTCGAAACGTCTTTGATTATAGTAGAAAAAGCAAAGGGAAATAAGGAAAGACAACCATTTTATTAGTATTGAGATACTGTAAATAGAGTCAATACAATAAGAGTTTAAATTAATGATGTTTGACCTAAAAGTAGAATTGATGTTCCATTAGTCACACTATAATCTATTATAAAAATGATGTCACCATGGGCTATATAAACAATCATATTGTAACATGTCACCTTAAGATTATAGAGTGTATAAATTTGATAGAAATTGACGAAATTATATTAACTATTTTCTGCTTATTTAAAATAAATAAAAAACAAAAATAAACTTAAAAGCTTCATTCATTCAATGCAAGAAAGCACGATTATTTCAGTCCAATAATTCAAAAATATATAAATAATCAAAATGTATTAGATAAAACATACATTATTTCAATATATCCTAAAATTTTAATTGAAATATTATGAAACATTTATAAAATTTCAATTAAATAAATTTAAGTAATATATTCAATTAAACATTTTAATGCAACACAACAAAATCAAAATATTCCAAAAAGTAAAATTGTGAAAATTTGAAAAATAAACTTAAAACTATGAAGAAAGTAAAAGAGAATCTTTTAGATTTATAAACCTTAAAAATACGTATAACATAAAATTTCAAAGGTTTAATAAAGGATACAAAATAATTAATAATAAAATTAACAAAATTAAAGATAGTATTACTCGATTAAAAAACAATACTGACAAAGATCATCATGAAATCAAATTAAAGAGAAAATAATTTTTTAAATTTACAACAAAATTAAAGAAAATAGTGGACGATTATCAAGAAGTACCATTACATTCTCTAGCTATTCTAAACTTTGGTATTACAATCAAACAAGTATTACTTATTTATATCCTACAAAATGTAATGAAAATGCAACAAATCAATAGTTAAATTTATATTAAAGATATTAGTGTAAAAATTAAAAAAAAAAACTATATATACGTGAAGTAAAAAAATGCGTGCAATCTACTTTAATTAAAAAAGATAATGGAAGCATATAATTCAAATGACATCACTCAATAAATAATAGAACATGCCATATAATTTGTTCAAAGTTTCTTCAAATAAGGCATAATAATTTAAATGGTAAAGTATGGGCAGGTCCATTGCAGATTTATGAATTCCATTACAGGGCTACAAACAATCAAAATGTCAAATACCCCCACTATATACATCAATGCCCGCCCATCAATTGGCATTAATTCCGAGTTGGCACCTACCCAATTGTACTTTAGGGCTAAGAAATCTGACCATCGTTTGAACTGTCATTCTCCTTAATTTAAATAGAAATTTATATTACAAATTTAAAGTAAAAGTAAGAAAAAAGAGTTTCTTCGAAGGAGAATTCTAACAAATAATCATAAAAATGAAAATGATTATTTCTTCAAAACTAAGGGTCCGTACAATTGATTGTAATGCATTTAAAAGTGCAACTTGAACTATGAAATTATATTTTCATCCTAATTATCTAAACAAAAAGAAAATCAAGAAAAAAACGTTTACTCTACCTCTATATAGGGCAACAATGAATCAAATGACTATAAAACATCCCAATTAATAATTACCTTAAATCGAATGACATTAACAAAAAACTGAAAAAGACAATCGAGAAATACCTCCACGAAGACGTGAAAGCAATATCACTTTCTTGCGACGTCTTTAATTATTGAAGAAAACACATAAGCAAAAAAACAAACTGTAATGAAAATAAAACATTTCAATTAATAAATACCTTTAATCGAATTAGATCAGTAAAAAAGGAACTGAAAAAATAAAAAAAAAACAATACATCCACAAAGATGTGAAAACAATATCACCTTTTTGAGATGTCTTTAATTATGGAAGAAAAAACACAGAAGCAAAAAAGAAAGTGTAATTATAATAGAACATTTCAATTAATAAACACTTTTAATCGAATTAGATCAGCAAAAAGAAACAAAAAAAAATACCTCCACATAGATGTTAAAACAACATCACCTTTTCGAGATGTCTTTAATTATGGATGAGAAAGCAAAGCCAAATAAGGAACTATTTCGTTTGTGTTAATGCAATGTAAATAGAGTTGGTACAATAAATGTTAATCGAGAATGTTGGATCTAAAACTAGAATTCCTATTTCATTGGTCACATTCAAATTTGCTAAAAAGATTATTTCACTACGTATACCATATAAGTAAAAATGTTATAACACATCACCCTAAGACTACGAATATGCAAGTGTGATGGAAATGAATGAAACAATGCGTTAACATTTTTCTTAACTTGCTCATTTCAAAGAAAAAAAACAAAATTAAACTCTAAAAATTAAAACTCCATTTTTTTCAAATTGGGACGGCATAAAAAGACATTATATGCATAAAAGTTGAATAAAGAGAATTGGAATTAGAAAAAATATATACCTTCATGAAAAAAAATAAATAATTAAAGGTAGAAAAAGACCAATCATCCAAAGGGAGTTGACCTAAGAGAGCTAATAAACAGACATAAAAGTTGTTTTAAATGTTAGAAATTAGATAACTCAAGGAAACTCCAAGTAAAGATGAGTTTAAAAATCTAAAATCATGATTATTCTAATTTTGTCATATATATTATTGTTTTGTCCATCAAAAAACATCATTAAAATACTTTAACATTTCAAAACATGAAAACCAAAATTCATTAGCTAAAAATTCCATTTTTTTGGTTAAATTTTTGAAATGTTTGACAATATTTTCCAATATATCCTAAAATATTATTAGTTGAAAATATTGTGAAACATTTCAAAAATTAAACCAAGTAAATAAAGGTAAAATATTCAGTTAAACATCAATGTAGCTTACTAAAACCAAAATATTAAAAAACACAAAATTTAAAAAATATTGAAACCATGAGAGAAAGAAAATATTTTCGGTTCTCAAACCTTAAGGAAATTAATAGTAATTGTAAAAACAAATAAAGGTTTGACGAATGATGCAAAATTGTTAATAGTAATTTAATCGAATAGAGAATGACTATCACCAAGTAGCATTACACTCTCTAACTACTCTAGATTTTGGTGTCATAATGAAACTAGTATTCTTCAATTATATCTTACAAAAGATAAGAAAAATGTATCAAACCAATGATTAAATTTCCATGAAGAATGACCGTGTAAAAATATACAAAAAACGCTACATAGACAAAAAAAATTAAAAAGACGCAAATGCTGCTCCAATTAAAAAATCGATAGAAGCACATAATCCAAATGATAACTCTAAAAAATAATTGAAAATGTCTTATATTTAATTTAAAATTGCATAAAATAAGGTAAAATAATGTAGTTAGCAATTTATATTACAAATTTGATATAAAAGTTATAAAAGAGAGTTCCTTTTTAGGAGAATATCATAATGAATAACCATCAAAACAAAAATAAATGTTCCCTTGAAATTAGGAGTCCATAAAATAGATTACATTACACTTAAAAGCTATAACTTGAATTTTAAATTTTCTTTCTAATTAAATTTAAAAAAAAGAAAAGAATTATTGGAGCATAAAGAGAATCCATAAAAAACTACTACACTACCTTTAAGGGAATAGTGAAGTGGACAATTATAAAATATCACATTAGCAATTACTTTTAATTGAATGAAATTGAGAGAAAAAAAATAAAGAAGGGTAAATTTCTTAAACTACCCTTATGGTTTATCTAATTGACCAAGTATACCCTTATTGTTTCAAAATTAACTAACACTACCCCTACTTTTTCTAACAATTGACTAATACATCACTTACCGCTATCGTCCGTTAATAGAAAGACAAAAAAAGACTATTTTGCCCTTTATTCTTTTTCAAATTTTCAAAACAAAGCTTTCGCCATCTAAGTCTTCGGATCTGAAATAGGGGCAAGTGGGAAGCAGCGAGGGTTCTTCTCCCAGTCATCCACCACGTGATGCATGGTACTGTCATTGCACGCCACCACATTTCAGTTCAGCAAAATTGTGCATGCCCGTAGATCCCCCAAAAGGATCTCCCAAGTAGAAGCAATAGTGGGAATGCTCTGTATCACGTTTCTGAAGTAGTATGGATTGACCTTCGGTTCAATTCGTTGGTAGAAGTTCACAACCATCCAAAAAGTAGTTGCCTGGGAAGGGAGAAGCTTTCTCGCTCGTGTGACTGAACGCCATAGCTGAGCACAGAGATGGAATCTTGATTATTTGATCGGGGCTCTTGCTCTCCATTTCCAATGTATTGAGATTTTGAAATAAAGTGTAACAAAGATCACAAAAGGTAAACAATGAAAAAAAAGTAAATGATAAAAACAACGATTACAAACCCTAGAGAGTAAACAAAAATGGCGTACTTCGCAAACCTTCTTGAGACTGATAGTTATCGGGGCTTTCCCTTTATTCTTTGAATGCAAAGCTTCCAAACTATTCTCTTCTACTTTTTCGCCATTCTCTTTGTCAGAAACATCTTCTTCTTCCACCATTCCCCGTTCTTCCTCTTCTTCTTCTTCGGATGAAATTTCTTCTGTATTTATATCCCTCTCTATAACTACTCTAGAAAACCTCATCATCCTTGTTTGCAGGAGCATTTCTTAAAAACTTCAGGGGATTTGAGGAAGAAGATAAAATAGAGTCAAAGAGGTGTGAGTGTAGAAGAAAGTGAGAAAGTAGTTGAATTGAATTTTTGCGAGAGGCATAAAATAGTCACAGGTGTAGGGAACCGTCACAAGTGAGGTGACCTTCTCACAGATAACGCGCCTTTGGGTTTTCATGACAGAGAGGATCAATGTTCGACAGGTGCTGGAGTAGGTTTTTCGAACGATATTGTGTTCAAATGAAGGGGATGAGGGTAATATTGGGTTTTGAAAAAAAAAATTAATGACGGAGTATTAACAGATGCTAACAATAGGGGTAGAGCTAGTCAATTGTCAGAAACAGTAGGGGTAGCGTTAGTCAATTTTGAAACAGTAAGGCTACACTTAGTCAATTTGCAAAACCATAAGGGTAGTTTAAGAAATTTACCCAATAAAGAATTGAAGAAGACAATATTAAATTATTTAGTATTGAATAGGGGTGGATCTATATTTGGTCCAATTATAAACGAATCAAATTTAGATAAGCCTTTAATATCATCAAATTTGAATTCAAAATTTGGGAAAACATATATTATTTGTAGCCCTATTTTAATCAAATTGGTGTTTTAATTAATAATTTAATCCGTTTGGGTTTTATAGAATTTCACCCTAAATGGGAAAATTTGTATATACTTATCATAAATTATGAATGAATCCCCTGCGGTTAGTCAATAATCGAAGTACTTCATCTTCTCCATTAAAGCCTTCAAAATAATATAAAATTGATAAATTAAGATAAGACTTATTAAAGGCTATGAGATCAACTATTACATCACTTATTTTTATTCATTTTCCTTTCTACAATTGATTTTGATATTCAATCATTTGTTTTTTTCTCTCATGGCTAGGGAATTTTGAGTGAGTGAGTGTGTGTGTGGTGGGGGGGGGATGCATATTGGCATTTTATAACCAAATGATCGGATATTATACAACCACCTTCATTTCCACAGGCTACAATGTTATTGAATGACTTGTGAACTTTCTAAAATTTCTAAATTGTGCTCACCTTATTTACATTCTTGCATTTTAGTGTATTTATTCTTTAATGGTATTTGAAATCTAATTTAGTTAATGTGTTAGCTACTTGTAAATTTGGACAATAACCCATTCATGTTTACATTGTTTTGGAATTTCCAGATAGTTGGACTGTTTAACCTAGGGTTTTAGTCCATCTTGCAGTCTATTTTGCCCTTTATTACTCTTTAATTTTTCAAAATATGTCATTACAACCAATTTATGAACGACGGGATTAATAACAAAGTAAAACCAAACTACAACAGATGTAAAACTTCAAACAACTTAATGAGTAAGAATGAAAAAAAATGAATGAGAAGAAACCAAATTCTAAAACAACAAAATAAAAAAAGGGAGAAACAGAACAAAATTAGTGAATCTTGAACCAAGTTTGCTCATTTGGTTCTAGGTTGTTGTAAAATAGTCATGTTGATCTAATTCGAGGCTTTAGGTATAGAACTAGTTTTGTAAACTGAAACAATGGTATTGTTGAAAATTGCTATTGAGGTAATAGATGAAGAGGTAAAATGGTAAACAAAAGTCTTCTATGCACCTTTTGAAACAAACTCAAAACCGATAAATTGTCACATATCCATTAGTGGGTCCACCAACCTAAGTATTAGGGAGAGAATAAAAAAAAATTGTTAATTGAAATCATTAGGCACAAGTATCTACTTGAGTTAGTTAGAGTCCATGTAAGTCCATGTAGTGCATTGATGTTAAGTCTTGTGTAGTCCATGTTGGTAGTTATGTAGAGAGTAATTGTATAGAGTATGATAGTAGATCATAAAGGAGATTAAGCTTAGAGGAGTCTGTTTTTCAAGAGTTTAAGTTGTAATTCTCTTCTTAATTAAATTATCATGAAAAATAATCTTGTTAATTGAGAGTTATCTCTTTGGAGGTTTTCATCTCCCTCAAAGTAGATGAAATTGTACGCATATACTTTAGCACTAAATGAAATTGTATTGCATGCATGCAAACCAAGCTTAAATAAATTAATATCACAAAAAATGCCCCTAAAAAGGTAACATTGCTCAGTTCATTAGTCGTTGTTGAGTTCAAGTGTCCTATTTGTTCATCTCACCATAAGGAAAAGATTTTGATAAATTCAATTCACATAACCTGTGAATTGATTGGCATGGGTGTGGGGTTGATTTTATGTTTGGCAAATGAATGTAAAAGAATTGTAATGAAGGATTAGAATGATTTTGCTAACTTATCAATTATCACTTTATCCCTTTTGTGTTAATTTATTTTTGGAAAATTTTTTAAAGTACCATTATGGTTTAAGAAATTGAATAAGTCTACCCTTGTTGTTTATATATTGCCTTAAATTACCCTTAAAATTTTAGACATTTGTCTAAAATCCCCCTTGCCGTTAACTTTCCGTCACTTTGTTCACATGTGACATCACATGACGAGATATTTTTTAAAAAATTCCTAAAATACTCTTTCTCGACATCTTCTCAAAGAGCTTTTGAACCCGAATTCATTATGAAAAAAGGGACATTTACTGACGGCTTAAATCTATCGATAAAAAATAGTGAATCAGTCGGTATAAGTCAATTTGGCTTATACCAACGTTTAAAGTGTTTATATCAACGGGCACACTCTCCTTAGGTGTAAGCACTTTGTCTATATGGTTATATCAATGGACTTGGGTTCCATCGGTATAAATCAATGTGCAATACTGACAGTTTTAGGATTACTAGTGATAGTATTAACCCGTTGATATAGATGAAAAAATTATTGTCGAGATCTTTAGTGATGCAATTTATACACCTTTTAGCGACATGTACCCGTCAGTATACATTTTATTAGCACACCCTTTAACGATTAGTCACTCGTCGGTATATATTTTACTAATACACCTATTCGTTGGTAAAGATTTCACGAATGATATTTTTCATGCATTTTAGGACGGTTGTTTTGTAAAATTACCAACGATGTGCCGTCAGTATAGATATACTAACAGATGTACCTCTTGGTAAAGGACTAGACAAAAGAACCATTGGTCTAACTTTTTCTAACAGAGGCAAATATTGATACATATTGCAATAGTAATGATTTTTATATATTTAGCGATGGTTTTTGCCATCAATATAGCAACTATTTTCATAGAATTAGTGAAGTACTGTTTTGTCAATAAATGCCACCCATTTGAGATTATTCCATTCCAATTATTAGTGTTTTTTCTCCATATTTCATATAGAAATAAGCATTTTAAGCAAAATATTCTTGTTAATTATATATGTAAAAAAATATACATGCAAAATTCATTTCAAAAATTTAAAAACATACATAACGCTTATTACAAAAAAAATACATGTTTAATCATCTACTTTAAATATCATAGATAAGTTGCAATGTATTCTAATAAGAGGGAGAAGTTCAAAAGACAAGTTTTTCTATTAGTTGTCCCAGCTTCCAATGGAAAGAGAAAAAGCCAAACAAGTTCAAAAGATGGGTTTGCTCTTAGTTCTCCAAATTTCCATTTTCCTAAATCATACTTGCATACAAATTAATATATTTAAGTAATTACTTTAAATTAAATTTAATTTTGTATCTACAAAGGAAAATAGGAAAAAAAAACTAGAGAAATCACTTTAAACACTTACCATATTACTATGGGGTAACACAATGACTTGAATATGAGGAACATGGGCACCCAATTGGAGAGTTATGTGAAACAATATTAGCATCAGGAACCTATTGAAAATAATAAATTTTATAAGAGGCATATCAATTATGATGTTAATTACAATTATGAATTTTAAACTAAAGATGTATACCTCTCAATTGATCATGTGTTGTGTTACACTTGTCAAATAAATAACACTATCTTCAAGAAACCACTTTTGTAGTAATGTTAAAACACCAGCAAGTGCTCAAGTGTTCCCTCTAACCCTTGAATTTTTCCTTAAAAAGTCCAATTTCTTCATCATGTTGCATTGGTTGAGATGATGAAGCACCTGATTTTTTAGTCGAAAAGGCAACCTTTCCCATACATCGCACATATCATTTTTTCTCTAATCCCTTAATTTTGGAATAAACATCACATTCTCAAGAAAAATGCCCATGTGATTTATCTATACTGAATGAATCACTACGAGCTTTTTTCATTACTTCCTGAAATTTGCAAAACTATTAATATCACTTCTTATTAAAAGATTAAAGTCAAATATAAATATCAAAAAATTTCTATCATTCTTGAGAATGATTGTATATAAATGATCTATTACAAGTTGAAAGAACTAGAAAAGTATTATTTCAAAATAAGAAATCATTAAGCAATCAGTTTGAAATGAAGTGGGTCCCACTTAAGACGTTTGATCTAGCTAGAAAGTTCTGGATTTATATGTTTAATTTTCACGCTTTTTATTTGGGGACTACTTGCTTGATTTGCATAAGACAAATCAAAGTTCACACTCGGTTTGCAAATCATTTTCACAATATCATGGTAGTTAGGAATCAAAATCTCTACATCTTTTGAAAGTTTCCTATACCAAATTTTCTAGAAAAAATTTGAAGCTTTTGACAAAAGAGATATTTCAGTGTTTATATATGTATGTATGTATAGAGAGAGATGTTCAGATTCCTTTTGTTTACTCCTCTAGTCAATAAAAAAAGTATCTTCGTCCATCAAAAGATAGAGCACCCTTGTTTGATTATCAAACTCTTTGTTGCAAGAGGGATTTTCACTACTAGGATGGTTACCATTAACAAGTCTTGCTAGGACCAAACCAAGGTCCATCCTATGTTGACCCTCCCAACAAATCACATGTCAAGATACTTAGAACAATCCCTCAAAGCATCAAACATGTACTAGAGGGCAT